CTGTGGCCTGAGTACGCATCCGATTGTCCGTCATCGCCGTACCGGGCTTCGCTGGACCTGTCCTCGTCACGGCCATCCAGCGTGAGGAACTCACTCCTCGGACCTATGGAGGGCCTTGCCGTGGAATCAGCGCCAGGCATGACAGGTCGCCTCCTCGCGGCTTACGGACTGTCAAACCTCAACAGCCCTTTCCGCATTTCTGCCAATGTTCAAGCCAAGATTCTGAAGCACGAAGGATGGATGGAGTACCGCAGCGATGACGCAAAGGACGGCGAGTTCGCTCGCGGTTACGGCCACGCTTTCCACACTGCTGTCGGACGCAGAGGCTCAGCCAACTCCAGCCCTCGCAGCTCAAGCTCTCAAGACATCTTGCACAACGATCGCGGCATTGTCTTTGCTGCTTATCGCTACCCCGGCAAGGATTCCACCGCGGCCGGATGCTCCAAGGAGGAGCTTGAGTCGCTCCGCGCCGATGCCGAGGGGCTTGTCGACTACCTCGTGGCGATTCACAAGGCCAGACGCCTTCGTGATCCCATGACCCTTCAAACACTCACCGATGAGGAAGAAACCCTCTCGTCATGACCAGTGAGGCTACACGCCTGACGCGCCTGCAGCACCCCACCCTGCAGCTACGACTGTTTTTCCGATTTACGCCATACGCCAGCAGTGGGACGGACCACAGATGATCAACGATTCTTCATTCTTTCACTTTTTCTTTGTCAGGATTTACATTCTATTGCAATTCGGTTTCTTCGATATGATACCACATGGAGAGCGTCGTCTTTTTTTTTATTCATGGCATCGGCTTTGTCATTTAGCTCAAAAGAGACAAGTTAGTCGTCCTCTGTGACGAGTTCGGGTGCTCTCTGTTCGACACCAATCTCAGGACTTTACGTGGATGGTAGTGGTGGATTGGGAAGGCGCGTCATGAAAGCGTGGCTCACGGTTGGCATGCGAGATGTTGGTGGACTGGTGTCTTCGGACTTTGCTACATAGCTGGCGGACCTCAGTCCGTAATGAATCAAAAAGCATCATGATTCACTTTTTACTTGACATACCTTGCGTGATAGATTGCGCGTCCTCAGCGCTCGAGCGACGCCCAATGTCTACGTCATGAAACCTGATGACCCTCGGCTTCACCGGTAAGGAATCACTCAAAAAATAGCCACAACAATCCGATGTTTCCCAACCACGGACATTTTTTTCTCGTATGCCCCAAATTAAGCACCGTCAGCCAGCCCGCATGCCCAGATAGACGAACCAACCCCGCGTCGGCCGGCGAGTCGTGGCTCCAAAAAGAGAGGTGTATCTTGGAGGCTGAGCTGTCAACGCCGCGCCGCAGCGGGTTGCCTGAAGGGTATCCGCTGGAAGAAAAGCCCGCCCGCCGCCACAAAGCAAGGTTTTCCGATCGAGAACGAACGCGAACAGCAGTTCAACGGGCGGGCAAGACAAGGCAAGGCCTGGCAAACCGGCACGCCGGGGAACCCCCTTGTTGAAACTTCCCGCGACGCTGGTTGGGTGGGGGTGGAGATCCGGGTGTCGTGCGTGGTAACTGGGTGCTGTGCCCGCGGCGACATGGGGGAAGGGGATGGATGGGCCTTGAAGCTTGGGGGAGCGAGGCTCGCGGATACGGTATCCTTGGCCCTTGCTGGACTTGCCAGTGCAACATGGTTACACGACGGAACGGACGCCCGCCGCACGCCATGTGGCCTGTAATCTTGGTGGTTGCGTTTTTGCTGGAGTGAGTGAGTGAGTGGTTTACTTGCTAGTTTGCTAGTCTGGACTTCTTGCACTTGCTTGCTTGGCCGCTGCTGCCCCTCCCCGTTGGATGACGGCGTAGCAGCGGGAGAGAGGTTCCGGATGGTGGGGGCGGCGAGTTTGCTTTTTTTGGTGGTGGTGGTTGTTGGTGGTCAGCCGAGACCGGACGCAAGACATTTGATGAGAAGGAAAAAAAATTGGAGGTGGTGGGCGATGTAACGACGGATTGGACGGCGGCTGGATTGATATGGGTGTGGGTTTTTTGACGGATGATGCGGCCGGATGGTGAGTGGTTTTTGTTGGTCTTGGTCGACGCTCGCCATGCGGGAGGGTTGCAGCCAATTTTGCTAGGTTCCATGTCTTGGAGGTGGTTTGTTTTTTAAGAGAGGGGACGGCGTCGTGCCTTGCATGGGACATGTCGTTCAATGTTTAGCGGTGGTTAGCGCTGGGTACTGATGACGGAAAGTCCATCTAGATGTCTTGCAGGTTCATGCACGTTGAGATTTGGATAGATTCTTGATGGTGTGATATCTGATTAGAGAAGATGGTGTCTTCATTTATTGTATAGTTCTGGCCTTGTGTGGTTATCATCCGCGTACGGACGCTTCGAATAGATGGTTTGGAGAGCCGCGCTTGATGGCCGCCGGAATATCATGTCTCTTGTGGATATCTCTTGCTATTAGTAGGACGACGCTGGAGTATTCCGTCAACATTCATCATCGCAGAACGACCCCGACTGTCGTAAAGTCTGATGTGGACACACTCGATGAGGCGGATTCACGGAGGGATGCCCTCTTTGAGATGACGGTTCGATGTTAGTGGGACGACGTTGGAGCAGTCCGACAACGCGGTTCCTTGCAAATCCCATCTCGAGGTCATCCGATTGGAAGAGTTCGATTTGTCTAAGATGTATCAAGATGCCTAGCTCCAGGGGCACGACTTCAAGCGGCGTGGAGATCTACAGACAACGTCCAACCGTCGTCTAGAGCGTGCCATCGCCTCTGATTGGGGCGGGCCTCTGAGGTGACATGTGCTAAGATGTAGAGACTTGGCTTAAGGTCTGAGAGCCTTGAAGACATGCAGTTCTGACTTGCGCGCATGTCTGTTACTCCGGCTCCGAAAGGGACGTGCCCCTTCAGGAGCCGGGTGCGGCGTTTTCTGGTGATGGGAAGTGTGGTGTGTGTGTGTGTGTGTGTGCTCGGACTCCCGTGAGGCGTTCGGGGTCGGGCTAGGGGAAGCGTTTGATGGGGGTTCCGGCGTTAGCTTGGTGGGTGTCTTGTTTGGAGCTAGTTGAGGCTAGGTCTGCAGTTTTAACGACCGAATGCTCGTGGTCCGAGGAGGTTTTGGGGGGGGGTGTAGCATAGGAGACGATGGGCAGGGTGGTTACATGGGCCCGATGACGAGAGATATGTTGTGCCGATCCATGGCCATACAAGTATTGCATCTATTGAACGGGTTTGATGAAAGCCCTCCGGATATCAAGTACAAGATCCAAGCATGAGGTGATACCCCGCAGGAGAGCATTGTCGGCATACTCAGGTCTCAAGGGGAACACCCCGTAGTATCTAGTGAGATCGACAACTATGTCTTGAGAAACTGCGCATGTTGAATACCAAAAGAATGGCATGGCCTTTTCGTTGTTCCGCGCCGGGCTGGCAAGAAAAGGTGGTGAGGCAAATCTTAAGGGAAGTTGAATGTCTGCCAATTCACACGAGCTTTCCACATTCTGGAAACGCCACCTACGGTCTCAATGTCGAACTCGATTGGGGACATAGTCGTTCTCAGTTGGCCGACAATGTAAACTAAATACTGGCCAAAAATTACTTGGGTCGGTGTTGGGGATGGATCAACTCTTGCAGACAGCATTGAAGTCAACGTGGTTCAGGTTCTGTGGTAGCAACGATGAGACCTGTCACAACATTGGTCGAGACTTCCTATCCATTGAGAAATTAACGTTCTGTATCGCCCAGCGGCGTTTGCCCTTCGACTTGGTACTCTCATTATTGCCAATAAGGAGGCGCAAAGTCCCAATACTCAGTGATGACGGCAGTCACATCCCTGGCCGTATGATGCTATGGACCATGGCATGGGGCCAGCAAAATTGATAGTCAGACTTGTACTTGTCTACAAAGAAATCGCAGAAGACGGAGAGGGACAAATGCACATACGTCTAAATAATACCATAGTCGCTGGATACCATACCTGATGGCGGTGTTAAGTAGCGTATATATCACACATTCCACACCAGGTCCGTATGTCAACAGCAAAGCATTAAGGCGTTATTCAGAGCGCACACCAGCCCTTTTCATCCACAGCTTTCTTTCTCACGTGCGTTTGGTCAACGATCTTCCCATTACGAGAATACAATTCCACACGGTATGGGTACATCAAAAGCAAATGGCCTGACCAGATTGTTGCGAACGACAACGGCCTGACCTGCGGCCATGGGCCTTGTTTCCACCGCCCACAGTGAAAGTAGCGACATGTATTATCATCGGCTCCTTGTTATGACTGCAACATCCAGGATAGAGAGTCACTTCCCATAACCAACTCATCGCAATGGCACACATATGAGCATTCAACGGCACGTGGGACATCAGGAGAGGAATGTAACGATACCTGGGGGCAATGTCATTATTCTGGTCCCTCGAGGCTTCCTTTGATAGGTTTCGATACCCAAAGTTTCAATAAGCCCGTTTCTCAGCTCATCTTCGGCTATTCAAACCGACGCGTTGTTGGGTCTCTGGGGCTAAGTTTTCGAAGGGAATGGAATCGTACAGCAAAGACTCACGCTGTGTCAGTTTCCGTGGCTCCAGGTCTGTGTCTGAGAGACCTGCTAGTCCCATATATGCAGGGAGTGGTTCTGCTTAGTCGTGTGGTTGTTTCAAAGGCCAGGCATCAATCGTATTCTTGAAAGCGTCCACGATAAGCTACACATTCGCCACGTGAGCCTGGCACACGAGCATACCCAGTCCTTGTCACGCAGGATTGCTAATCTGACAGTGAACATGGGGTTCGCAAAGAGCCGAAGTGTTTGTCAGGCATGTTTAGAGGATCTGATGATAGTGTTTTGTCTCAATCGTCAATTCATCATCGATGACTACGAAGATAATCGAGTGAAAAGACTCGGATCTCCAGTGATCTCAAAGCAATTGTTCCTCAAGATCTCAGATAAGACTCCCGTCAGTTTCTTGTGTGCATGCCATATCTTTCATCAGCTCAGCAACGTAGCCCTCCTACCCTTAAACATTGACAAATCGACACTGCTCAAGGGTCTTGCAGACGGGCTTGTGGTTTTTCCAAGCGGCCTTCTGGCATTCCTAGGGAACTATTAGAGAAAACGAAGGTGCCAACATGGTTTGGAAACTTACGACGTTGCAGAACCAGGCTCTGCCACACTTGCCGCACTTCTTGGGCGCTTGTCCGATGTCCGCCTTGATCTTTCCGCACTGGAAGCAGCTACACACACGAATCAGAATGTTCCAAAGTAGTTCGTCCAGATGATGAACGCACCTGGGCTCGCCAAAGTCACGCGGGGTGCCCGCCTCATAGTGATCCAGCGCGGCGAGGAACTGGACATTTCCAACATGACGGAAGCCATCCTCAGCAATGGGCGACACGTAGCCATGCCTGCCAGCGAAACCCTCAGCCAGCTCCCGCAGATGATCAAGATCGGCCTGCCGGATGCGGGCGCCAGCACGCATCATCAACGCACCAACGATGATGACCCGATACTTGCCCTGATCCTCGTGCTCAAGAGCACGGTACGTGGTGAAAAGTTGGTCGCCCAGGCCCGTGTCCAGCTTCTCGCGGGTTGACATGATGATTGCGTCCAACTCCTCGCGGTACTCAGAGGTCTTGTAGAATTCCCGGACTTCAGGAGGGGCCATCATGTCGGTCTGGTTGACCATTCGCACCAGGTGAAGGTCATTGTCCTTCCCCGTTCCGTAGGGCACTTGATTGCACAGGCAACGTCAATGTCGTTGTCGCCCTCGAAGACACCTGTCAGAATTGTCAGTATGGCTGCAAAACATCGAGAGAAAGACAGAAACTTACGATATCCCCAACGACCCATGGTGGATTCTTGGGACTGCTCTTTGCTTCGAGAGCAGGGTAGATATTGGTTTTGAGACGGGCAGGAAGCGGGTCGGAGGCTGCTCAGTGGTTTTGTCTTGGTAAGGAGAGCGTGGGTAGCAGGGAGCGGGAAGGATGCCCAGACACAGTTTCTGGGTAGAAGAGAACGGAGACAACACCCGGGTATGAGTGAAGCTGGGGTGGATCGGGTTGAAGTTGGGTCGACCAGAATTATATTCAGCAGAGAGAACTTTTCATGTCGGGAAACTACCCCGCTGGAGCTCCTAGCTCCTTCCGACTGCGTGTTGGAAGGAGGAACCGCTTGCCTCTTGCCTGCATTTCTCAAGTGTTGCCTGAGGTGCCTGCAGGTTCAGGGTCATGGAAGAAAGAGCTTCTCCAAGCACCTACCTGCCCATTGATTGTGACAGCATCGACTTCCGCACCTCCCAGTTGCTGTTTGCCAGCCATGGCTTAACCCAATTGAAGGGGCAGATCGCCATCACACCTGCAGCAGGCCGGTGACCATGCAGGTTTCCATTCGTCGACACATACGATAAGTTGGTTTTGCAGGCGTCTCCGCTCGGTGCGTGTGCAGCACCAGTTTGGCAACAAACGCTCATGGCTTTACGATGCAGTTTGAAACGGTGTATGAAGCACATCGAAAGCCGAACTGCCGCAGAACTGTTTGCTTAATCTTAGATCATCAGGACTGTCGAGGGGTCTGCAGGTCAACACACGAGTTACTTTGCGATGAAGTATTTTGATTCTCCAGTTCAGTCTATACTGCAACTCGAAACAGAGGCTCCTTGACTTAATATGTGCAAGTCAGCCGTTCCACCACCGAGAAACACTTTTGATCAAACTCGTGCAGCCATGATCTCTCCGCAATCCAACTTATAGACGGGCAGGCTGACCTCGTGGTTTGTTCAGGGGTGCCTTGCCAACATGCTTGTTGCACCCTCTTGTTTGTAATCTCGACATTCATCCCCAAACGCCAATGGTATCCGTGAACCAACCTCCAACTTTAAAGCATGCGAGGCGCCGAAATAACTGTTCGTAGCTTATCTTCGGGGAGGAGGGTTGAAGCCAGGAGTTCCACCAGGGGGGCCGGGGTTGAAGCCCGGAGGAGGGAAGGGCGCGTTCTGAGGGAAGCCCGGGGGCGGGAAACCGCCGGGGAAGCCTGGGGGAGGAGCTGCAATGTGTGAGAAGCTGGATCGAGGATCAAATCGTTGAGTACTCACCTCCACGTCCACCAAACGGCGGAGCACCAGGGAAACCAGGGAAGCCGGGGGGAGCGCCGCCTCCAACACCAGCAGCAGGGCCCTACGGTTCTGATTAGCAGCTTTCAACAGGAGCAGACTTTGAGTGTGTACATACGGCCAGAGAAGGGGGAACAGGGGCAGCACCTCTGCCAGCAGGTCTCGCGACACCAGGACCAGCAGCAAGAGTCGACGAGATTCCTCCCGGCGCACTCTTTCCAAGCCTGGCACTGGGGTCTGCGGGAGGCTCCGACTCAACGGACAGCGACACGATATGGGCGCCACGGACGATGGTCAAACCGAGCGTGCGCTTCTCCTCCTTTTCGATCGTCTGGCTCGAGCCAGAGCTTCCAGGGGCAGCAGGCTTGTTTTGCCTGATCTTGACGCGTCGGAACTCCTCAGTATCGGCGAGAACAAGGTTCATGTGCTACAGACACTGTCAGCGACGTCATTGACATGCGATTTAGGGGCCTGGGAGTGCACACCTTGTCGAAAGCAAGCATCTGTCCGGTCATCTGGCGGCCATCGTTGAGAGTGACTCTCATCCGGTAGTTGATCTATGAAGCATGTTAGCAAGCACGGCACGAGGTCGAGCCGTCGGTGGCTGAGAAGATCGAGGATCGATACGTACGTAACCGGCCTAGAGAGATCATATCGTGTCAGCCTGTATTGTCAACCTTGAAGCTTTGGAAAAGAAGGTGAGGAGCTACTAACCATCTTGCCCTGTTTGTTCGACATCTTGGCTGATGTGTGTTTGAGATGCTACTTGCGCAGCTTCTCGAGATCTTTCAAAAAATTGATCTTGTTTTGTAGCGAAGCCTGGGAGACTTCGACGCGACCTTGGATGCTTGCGGTAGGCAGAGCTTCTGGCAAGGTCAGAGTGGGTATGCCCGTTCCATCGACAAATTTCGGTGGAGGAGGCTGCGGAAGGCTGAACTGAGGCCAATGCCACTCGGGTAAACCCCGGCGGTGGATGGCGCCCGGAATGCGCTAGTCCTGCTTTGGGCGTTAGCGGCTCAGGTGGGGTCGTCGCCAACCGTGCACCCAGGGCTGCAAAAACCCATCCCACAAACTACTCAAGTCTATCTTTTTTTTCGATTTTCCTTTTCGACATCCCGCGATACCGACTCATCACCACGCCAAACCGTCGTCGACGTACTAACCGCCAAAATGTCCGAGAAGGCCCAGAACCCCATGCGCGAGCTGCACATCCGCAAGCTCGTGCTCAACATTTCCGGTACGCTCCAGGCAATGCCTCGTTTCCCGATGAACTTTTGCTAATATTGAATTTCACAGTCGGCGAGTCTGGTGACAGACTTACCCGTGCCGCCAAGGTTTTGGAGCAGCTTTCCGGTCAGACTCCTGTGTACAGTAAGTTCTCACGAAGTCCTTTATCGAATGCGACAATTGACTGACCCATTCCACAGGCAAGGCCCGTTACACCGTCCGTACCTTCGGTATCCGCCGTAACGAAAAGATTGCTGTTCACGTCACCGTCCGTGGCCCCAAGGTACGATTTCGAACACGGAGAAACTGCAGAAGTGAGGAATCGGGAGACTGACTTGACGCAGGCTGAGGAGATTCTTGAGCGTGGCCTCAAGGTCAAGGAGTACGAGCTGCGCAAGCGCAACTTCTCCGAGACTGGCAACTTCGGCTTCGGTATCAGCGAGCACATCGATCTTGGTATCAAGTACGACCCCTCCATCGGTATCTACGGCATGGACTTCTACGTCTGCATGACCCGCAAGGGTGAGCGCGTCGCCACCCGCCGCCGCTGCAAGGGCCGCATCGGCTCTGGCCACAAGATCAAGCGCGAGGAGACCGTCAAGTGGTTCAAGCAGCGCTTCGACGGCATTGTCCGATAAATGCTCTAACCACTTCTTTCTGCAACGATCAAAAAAAGTACCTCGGGACGGCTTGGGTTTACGGATATTGGCGAAAACGGGACATGGAACAAAAGGCATGTACTTTCCAGCAGTTGTTATCGTCAGACAACAAAGCTTGACTTGAGGAAAATTCAGTCTTGCTGCGGCCTCAGAGACCGACCGGCGCCCATGCCGGCTTATCAACATCTTCTTTTTGATGTGATGACAATGCGTAGTATACCCTCTTAGTGATGACAAGCTGTGGAAGCAGCTTCTGGCGTTGGTGGTTTAGCTAGTTTGCCCATAGCTCAATAAAGCTAGTCGATTCCTTGCATTATCAGATCTTCGCAAGCGACTGCCAGTGAATGTTGTGGGTATGTCAAACCAACACAGAAATGACGGCAACCGACCCCATGCTTTTCTTGCGCGACGGGAAAATATTGTCGCGTGCCGATGCTGGGCATGTTTTTGAGGTGATGACGGGCCGTTACGGCAGGCAGAATGATGCGCAGGTTGTTCGGTTTTCTGCATTCCTCCGAGGCGGTCAGGCTCGGTGTTCCCGGCCGGCCGGAGACACGTCCCACAGCGGATGCATGGCTATTGACCTCCAGGTTCTCAACGAGTGCACGCGAAAGCATCGCTCAAGGGAGGGTGACGAGAGGTTGGGTGGGAATGCCACAGTGGAGAGCTTCGCCTGCGAGGCCGGGGAAGGAGGGGAGTGACCGGGAAGCTAGACTAACGACATAGCATGCATGCAGATTTATAAGATGAATGCTAGCACCATGAAGCCATCTCGACATGGAAGGTTAGATGTTGGTTGACCGGGGCCATTTGAGCTCGGGGACCGAGCAGACATCGCAATTGGACCTTGTCGCAAACTCAATGGGCAGTGGGCAACGGGCACGATCGCGCGCTGGAAAGCCAGATTGACACATTTTTTTTCGGTTGGGATGAGATCCATCAGCAATCTCTTCCGGGGGGCTTCAGCACTGAAAGGCGGCGGTTCAGCGCTGGTTGTCTTATGTAATCAACACTCTCAAGGCGTTTTAAGGCATTTCACGGGGTTACGGGGCTACGTGCTGTTCGTCGGAAATTGTTAGGGTGATCTCGGGTTGGACTGAGGCAAAACTCGACGGGCCGCCGTGATTGGCCCGACAGCACAGCTCCGGGTCCACCCATTCCTCACTCTCTTTTCCCTCCACCGGGCCTCTTCCAAAAAAGACTCGATTTGCACTCCTTCAAAGGCACCTTCATCAACCCCAATCTCCCCTCCACTCAATTGCATCCGTTGCAATTGATTCTCCTTCGATCTAGACAGTGTCAAAGATCTCCTAATATGTTCCGCAACGCCCTCCGCCAGTCGACGCGCGCTGTCGGCGCCGTCTCTGCCGCTGGCAGAGTCGCTGCCGTAAGTCCAACCCACCCTCAACAATCCGTCAACCTCCCCATCCCCGAAACGACGTCAATGCCATCCAAAAACATCATCAATCGGTTCCGCCATGTCCAATGCCACCCCGGCGAGCTTTTTTGGCGTCGCGGAACGCATGGTGGTGTTGTGGAAGAGCTTTTCATCAAGCTCCCTTGGCCCTGCGTCTTGTTTTTGGGGGGGGAAGCCCATAACATTTTCGGGCTTCGGCTAACCTGTTTTTCACCCTCAGGCCCGAAATGCCGCACCCGCCGTCTTCAACGCCACGTCGATGCAGACCCGTTCATACGCCGATGCTAAGGCTTCCCCGACCGAGGTTTCTTCTATCCTCGAGCAGAGAATTCGTGGTGTCCAGGAGGAGGCTGGTCTCGCCGAGACCGGCCGCGTCCTTTCCGTCGGGTACGTTTAGGCGGCACATCTCGGCATCGCGAGCACCCATCGGATAAGCTTCAATGCATCATCAGCTTGCACGAGGACTCGCGTGTCAACATCGCCGGCGCAGGGAAAAAAGTTTTTTTGTTGCTGACGACAATTGGAAAACAGTGATGGTATCGCCCGTGTTCACGGTATGGCCAACGTCCAGGCTGAGGAGCTTGTCGAGTATGTTTAGCGCCCTTTATGCGCCTTCCGGTATCCCCGCGTCTAACGGCTGTACAGGTTCGCCTCTGGCGTCAAGGGCATGTGCATGAACCTCGAGGCCGGCCAGGTCGGTGTTGTGCTCTTCGGTTCTGACCGTCTGGTCAAGGAGGGCGAGACCGTCAAGCGTACCGGAGAGATTGTGAGTCGGACCACTTCTTGCCGCCGATCCGGACGGCAACTAATCATGAGCAATAGGTCGACGTTCCCGTCGGTCCCGAGCTGCTCGGCCGTGTCGTCGACGCCCTCGGTAACCCCATTGACGGCAAGGGCCCCCTCAACGCCAAGGAGAAGCGCCGTGCTCAGCTCAAGGCCCCCGGCATTCTGCCCCGCAAGTCCGTCAACCAGCCGGTCCAGACTGGTCTCAAGTCCATCGACGCCATGGTTCCCATCGGCCGTGGTCAGCGTGAGTTGATCATTGGTGACCGTCAGACCGGAAAGACTGCCGTCGCCCTCGACGCCATGCTCAACCAGAAGCGCTGGAACAACTCCAACGACGAGACCAAGAAGCTCTACTGCGTCTACGTCGCCGTCGGTCAGAAGCGTTCCACCGTTGCCCAGCTCGTCAAGACCCTCGAGGAGAACGACGCCATGAAGTACTCTATCGTCGTTGCCGCCACTGCCTCTGAGGCCGCTCCCCTGCAGTACATTGCTCCTTTCACTGGTGGTAAGTACATCCCGCCGCACCTGCCATTCTCGCACCCACCGTCACTGCCCTTGCCCCCTTCGTACCTTTCGCCCTCGTCGCCCCTGCCGTCGTTGTCGCCGTCCCCCACCACTGTCTTGCATCCTCGTCCCCCACCATCGTTTCTGTCCCCGCTGGTCCCGGCCCCACTCTACCGGCCCCGTCCCGTCCCCGTCCGGGGTCCGTCCATCATCACCCATCAACATCATCAACATTCAAAAACAACACAACAAGATGATCTTTTGCTAATCAAACTCAGCGAGTATTGGGGAATATTTTCGCGACAATGGCATGCACTCCCTGATCATCTACGACGATCTTTCCAAGCAGGCCGTCGCTTACCGCCAGATGTCTCTTCTTCTCCGCCGTCCCCCCGGACGTGAGGCTTACCCCGGTGACGTTTTCTACCTGCACTCCCGTCTTCTGGAGCGTGCCGCCAAGATGAACGACAAGCTCGGCGGTGGTTCCATGACTGCTCTGCCCGTCATTGAGACCCAGGGTGGTGACGTTTCTGCCTACATTCCCACCAACGTCATTTCCATTACCGACGGTCAGATCTTCTTGGAGTCTGAGCTCTTCTACAAGGGTGTCCGTCCCGCCATTAACGTCGGTCTTTCCGTCTCTCGTGTCGGTTCCGCCGCCCAGCTTAAGGCCATGAAGCAAGTCGCTGGTTCCCTGAAGCTCTTCTTGGCCCAGTACCGTGAGGTCGCTGCCTTCGCTCAGTTTGGTTCCGATCTTGATGCCTCCACCAAGCAGACCCTCAGCAGAGGTGAACGCGTAAGTTGTAATCTGATACACATGAGATGATCATTGAGCTGACACATCTACAGTTGACCGAGCTCCTCAAGCAGAAGCAGTACTCCCCCATGGCCGTCAACGAGATGGTTCCACTCATCTTCGCCGGTGTCAACGGTCACCTTGACAACGTCCCCGTCGGCAAGATTCTCCAGTGGGAGGCCGATTTCCTTGCTCACCTCAAGACCAACGAGTCTGACGTTCTCGCCACCATCGACAAGGAGGGTGCCCTCAGCAAGGACCTTGAGGCCCGCCTCAAGGAGGTCATCACCAACTTCACCAAGAGCTTCCTGGGCTAAATTTAAGTCTCACCTGACATAATAAATGGTCCGACTGGGAGCGCAGGGGGGTTGATGTAGCTGTCTATACCGAAGTTTTTTGTTCCTCTAGAGGCGTGAGGAAATCTCGAGGGTTTGCGCCGGTCCGAGGGAAGCACCAGGGGACGCGATCTGGGGGAAGGATCTCCAGTCGAACCACTTGTAAAATAGAGCTCAAGACTCAATTAACGCCCTCGATTCCTTTTGTCCTTCAATACCATGACCCTCAAATCTAAAGTCGTAAATGTTTGAAAGAGATTGAAACAGTGCGGCGAGAATCGGTACCCATCCACGTCGGAATGATCTTAGCTCAGTCTGTGACTGCCTGGCCTTTCTCGTCCACCTACCTAGCTAAGGCAGGTACGCATGACACCTTCCTTTTCTGCAACTGACTTCATCTTTTATGGCCGACACTGTTGTCCGGGACACTCTTTCCCACTGAGGCGCCGTCATACTTCCCAATGCCAGTGCTGGGCAGATCTAATATGGGTCGGGAGCTCTCACTCAATGAGGTACTTCGCACGTGGAGACTTCCTCCGAAGTCTTCCTCCCATCCATGGTGAGCTCTTTCCCACACCTGTCGTGCCTTCTATTTCTAGGGCAGGACTTATCCAATGCCGAGCAAGCGCTTCCCTTGCCGCACTCAGAGAAAGAAAAGCTTTTCTTGTTGTCTTTGCTCTGTCTCATTTCTCCTCAGACATCATCGCCATGAGGCATGGCTCGCTCCAGGTGTCCTCCCTACGATCAAGAGCACGACGACCGCCAGCAGTTCGCCTTCCCTCAGCCATTCTCCTTGGTCTACACGAGGGCTGCCAGAAGTCTTCCTCTTCTCAGAAGATTGAGACGACCACCAGAAGCACTTCATCCACCCTCAGTGGTGACCTTGGATCGAAACGGACATCGGACAGAAGTCTCTTCTCTCCCCCATGCGACGTAAGAAAGACCTCGCTAAACATTCTGGGTGCTTCTCCTAATGATTGTAGTTGAGCTTTACCCTGTCATACCGGAGAGGACTTTGGACCACAACGACGTCACCATGGCATCCTCGAACCCCTCTGTTTGATCCCAGTTCTTTCCTCTTCGTCCCCCGTTGTCGTCCATACCATTCCGACCATGGGCTCGACTCGCCTCGCCACAGTTGTCTCCGCTTTGGGCCCAGGACGACTAGCATCATTCAGCTCACTCAAGCAAGATGGAAGAGGTCGAAGAGCTTCGCGAGATCGTCGACGGCATGACTTACTGCGCCGTCACGCCCGATGCCCCGGAATGGTATTTGAACCCCGTGTTCAAGACTGTTCTGGGTGCAGAGGACGGCTTCTCGAATCTCTTTGTTCCAACCACCCTTTATTCTCTGCAGACCACTTTCTCGGCGTCCTCAAGGACGATGCTCCTCCTTTTCTTGACTTTTTTCGTCTCCTCTCTTCTCCGGCTCACAGCGACAAGCCCATTTGTGGCGTTTATGCCCTTCTCATAGAGAAGATCGGTTGCCCGGCGAAGCTCTACGTTGGATCTGGTACGAGTGCGTCCCATGGTGTCTTCTCTCGGCTCGTAGACTATGACAACGAGAATAGCACCAACCTACCAGACCTCGTCCGCAAAGCCATCAAGGATGGCTATACTATCACTCGTGCGGGTCTACTTTGCTAGCACTATCTGCCGTCTGCCGCCCACGCCCCCCGCGCCTAAGTTCGACTCGTCGTCTGTCGTCGTCGTCGTCGTCGTCTCTGTCGTCCTGCCGTCTGCCGCCCACGTCCCCCGCGCCCGAGTCCGACTTGTGGCTGTGGAGGCAGTGTTGGCGTTTGTGTTCTTTGCTGGCCGGCCCTGTCAGATGGACGTTTTGTGGGAGGATCTGTTGCCTTGGTGCCGCGAGCAAACAACCTGGGAGCCATTATGCACCCACACGGCGTTTATGGAGAAGCCTCCTGGGGATGTTGAGATGTCCAGCGAGCAGCTGGAGGCTTACAACGCTGCTCGTGTCGTTCGGGCTAAGGAAAACATGGCCAAGAGCAGCAAGGCATACGAAGATCGAGAGAAGGCTGTTAGTCCAGCAGCATACCGCTCCCGAAAGCTGAAGGAGAAGCTCGCGTAGGAGAAGAGAAATCCTGAGAACATTCGGATGTACTCTGCTGGGACGATCTCCCGTCGGACGCCCAAGTTCCCTAGGCTAGGATTAGATTGGTCGCCGTTTCTGTTGCCACCTCTGTTATCATCTATCGTCGTCTCTGTCGTCGTCTCTGTCGTCGTCTCCGCTATTTCGTTGTTAAGGCCGTTACAGCGTTCGCTTCCTTCACTGAGAGATTTCGCCAAATGGAGATGCTGTGGGACAACATGTTCGCAGCAGCGCACACACAGCTTTCCTACATATAGTGTGCACTTTCTGCGAGCACCCCAGTATGGAATATCAATCACATTTTCAAAAACTACTTCGCTCCTATTATTCAAACTTTCGAAGCCATCTGTGGGCAGCATCCGCTCAAGTTCGCCGATAACATGTACGAGGTTTTGATGGCCAACCACCCACCCACTCTCGACTTCTTCCGTACACTCCCCAAACCCAACAAGAGCAATCCGGTTTGGGGCGTCTACACAACCCTTATGGAGAAGGCCAATCACCCAGCGAAGCTTTATGTCGGGTCAGGAACCAATGCCGACCACGGTGTTGTGAAGACAAAAAAAAAACCTCAAACCTCCACGCTTCACGCTCAGGATGCCTTCCGCATTCCTTCCCATTTCAACCACAAGGCGAAACTCTCGACCTACCACGAAATCCCTCAGCGTGCCAACGAATTTTTGGTAGCACACTTGCTCCAAGTCAGGCCGCCCGTACGCGACCCTCATTTACCCAGATCTTTGCGCCTCCTGGTCTGTTCGTCAAAAAAGCGTTCACTTCATCTAAGGTAGTGATCGACTTTCAGGTCAGCATCTCTCTTCATTTTCAAGTTCAAATTTAACACAGCTCCAAGATCCTCACTCCATGGTCTCTTGTTTCCTGGTATCGAGCCAAATACACTCATACCGACCCGGTACTCGCCAAGAAATTCACCAATAACATCATCATTTCAGGCCGAATCCTAATGATGCCACGCAAGAAGCAAACGGTCGTTCTGAAGGATGAATATCTGGAGCAAATTGCCCAAGAAGCCACGAAAACGAGTGAGAGAGAGCAATGACACAGCCAGAAGGAGAGCCTACCGGGCGCTCCTCGGCTCCCACGCCCCTTTGAGAAGAGTTCACGGAGACCACCCACCCGGGCTGGAGACTAAGCTTCTAGAAGCCAGAGCCAAAGTCGATAGCATATTGTCGCTAGCACAGCCAGGCGATAAAGAGTTCAAGAAGCTCATCCAAGAACTGATTTCAACCCCTTTGAAGATCTATGGGGCGTTTACCAGCAGAGAGGAGGGTGTAATGCTGGGGCCCGATGGAGGTTGACAATGAACAGCCTTACATGGGCATTGACCTCAAAGAGTCAGACTTGAAAGAGGTTGTTCAGCAGGTCTTGTCAGGATGGCATAAAGGATCCTGATAAAGCGGGTGAACTGGTGCAAGAGACGAATGTTGAAAATGGTCTCATCCACATCAATCTGGTACCAGTGAGTAGTATGTTCTCGCAATTTCGCTTTCGATTACTAAGTATGCATAGACGATTGTTTATAAAAGGTCGCGGGCCCTTGAACCCGAAATCCTGCTCATCTAGAGAGGTCATCGATCATCGCCTACTACCGGGTTTCAGGATCTGTTACAGTTGCCCGCCTTCTATCTCGTCTTCATGTTATTTACGAAGATTTGACCTGTTACCCCCCCTCGGGGGCGCCTTCTAACATGCCAGAGTCAGAAATGAACAGGTGCTGGGGTGGCGCGCCATTGCATCGCCGACCCTATGGGTTACGGCAAAACACTCAACACGATCATGACTGCGACGAGAGCGAAGGGGATGCCTTACCAAGGCCCCGTATGGATTGTAGTGCCGAAAACGCTAGTTCCTCACTGGGAGGAATAGTTTTCGTGCTTCGAGGAGGTATGTGAGGCAAACATGTGATCGAACGAAAGTTACTGACAGTGATTCTGTAGGTGGACCGCCCGTCGGTGTTTGCTTTGACAGACAAGGACGTGTCAGCGCGCGAGCTGGCTGAGGCCAAAGCTGATTTCATTATCATCACTCCGCAGTACCTGAGCGCCCGGTATCTGGAATGGCAAGACGCCACTCAACAAGCCCGATCCGGTCTATATATCCTTGGCAGACCAGTAGCCCGAAGACAAACGTCGTCCAGGTTATGGCAGACGAACTGTGTCTTCGACATCGAATGTTGGACATCCCTGGGCCTTCACTTTCCCTTCGCCATCTTCGACGAGGTACACGGAGCGAAGAATCCCGATGCGATCATCAACAGGGCATCTGCGGCGCTCGACGCCAGGGCGAAACTTCTGGTCAGTGGAACTCCTATGAAAAACAGAGTCTTCGATGCCTTTGGGATTCTCAAGATTCTGCCCGGATGCCCCTTCGCGACGGAGAATGCGTTTTTGAGAGTCCTCAGTGTCAACCCAAAGGCGCGAGGGCCGCCGAAATTGCGCCTGAGAAGACTTGCCCAAATTCTCGACGCATGCACGATCGTCCGCCCTCTCGCGGCCCTGAATCTTCCCGACCTCGTCGAGCACATAGTTCAGGCCGAGCTCCTAGACGAAACGGTCCTCGACATCGCCATGGCCGCCCACAAATTCCACCGTCTCGCGGTAATCTCTGGAGGGGGCCGTCGGCGAAGACCCCAGAATACAGGACATGGCGCCGCCCTTTCTTACACCACCCGCGCAAGACTGATGGCGACTGCCTCTATCTTCAACCGTCCGAGCCCAAGTCAGGAAAGGGACACTAGGTCGACAAGGGAGAGGTTTGGAGAACGGTGCACCGAGCACGGATACGACCAGTTAACAATCGCGCGCAACCCGCAGCTGCTACGTGAGTTTGTGCAATCCGTACAGAGGAGGAAGTCAGATGAGCGCGAGGAGGATCCAGACTGGGACCCAGAGGTCGGAGATGTCGACGAGGAAGATGAAGTTATCGGTCCCGACGATGCAAACCTCAACGACAACCCACGTCGTGCAAGAAACCGCCAACTTTGGCTCTCGCATCTCGATACGGAGTGGGAGAAGGAACTTGATCGGTCTGCGAACCGTAAGAGTCCCCGGCTCCAGGCCATTCAGATTATCGTGGAGCAAATCGAGGAGATGGAAATCGACGAATCGAGCAACGAAGTTGATCCAGATACCAGGATCGTGGTATTTTCCGAGTGGGTGCACGAACTGGACCTTATTGGAGGTTTCTTCAGTGCCAATTCGAACGGGACTTCAAAGTGTTACGTTTCGATAGTACGCGTTCGCCTGAAGAACGGGAGGATGTGCGACGCAGATTTCAACACAAGAAGGAACGTTCTATCCTTCTCGCCACAGTGGGCGCAGGAGGCCAAGGCATCAGCCTTACGACATGCCACCACGTCGTCCTCATCCAACCACTGTGGACCTTAGCGGAAGAGAGACAGGCAATCGCTCGCTGTCACCCGTAAGGCCAGGCACAAAGGTTCACGTATGGAGGCTTAGGTCATCCGGATCTGTCATGGAGATGCACATTCTGGACAAAGCGGAAATGAAGGATGCCGAAGTTGAAGAGGTAATGAATCTTCTGACCAGACCTGATGAGGCTGGACCCATCGTCACTTGGTCAGAGAGTGAGATACACACCATCGTCAGTGTTCTAGGATTAGTCTAAGTAAATAGGTGGGCGGGGACGGTTAGCTTTGGGAAAGCGCGGGACGGGACAGCGAACGCAATGTTCGCATCCTCCGAATCATTTGACCACAAAAATAAAAAGGACACCTTCATAGATCCAACAGCTGAAGATTTCTCATGTTGCGTTTGCTTGCTGATAGGCGAACGCAGACGGCGTGAGTATCACACACCTATCCCTCCAAATACCCACGTTGGCAATGTGAACATTTTTGCCTGTACGAGAATCGGCAAGCCACCTTCAGGTACTGCACGATTCAAGTCGCCTGATCCAGTCTCCGCACTTTCGTTGTATTCTCAAGGAACGAACGCTTGGACTGTGTCGCAATCTCGTCACGTCACAAAAAATGCGAGCCCAGTCACAAGTTGTGGAGGTTACGCCATTTTGAGAATTCCGTTCACACTTTGATAGCCTGTGTCGCTCTTCCGACGTCTCTCTACATGGTTTGCCTGGTTCACCAGCCTGTCCCTACCTACAACGACGATCTTCAAGCCATGGTCTTTTGTCAGTGCCGCCAATATCCTCACAGTCCTTCCGGCTCCAAGGTCTGTAGAGGATGATCCACGGCCGCCATTGCTTCCTCAACCCCGAACGACGGTCAGAGGAAAAAATAAGACCATGCCACTAGTACGCCCGTACTCTCATTCCTCTACAATTGTTGGTCAATGGCGATACGAGAGTGAGGCGAACGTGGAGATGTATCTAGCGAAAGATGCGCTTGATTTTCAAGCCCTTGGTATAGATGGGATCACTGCATTCCTGGGTTTGGTGAAGATCCCTTCCTCGACGGCTAGTAGTACCACTAGAGCTTTGCTATCCGGGCGGATACTTCTAGCTGACCGGGCGGATAGTAGATATACGAAGACAACGAAGACAACGAAGACAACGAGGACAACGAAGACAACGAAGACAACGAAGACAACGAAGACAACGAAGACAACGAAGACAACGAAGACAACGAGGACAACAACAACAACGATGAGGACGACGAGGACGACGAGGACGATAATAAAAACAATAACAACGATAACGCCAGTGACAATAGGGACAGAGAGAGGTCACTCAAAACGACTCACCTCTCATCGGATTCGAGCCGAGTCTATCAAGCTAAGCGGGGATACCTGAAATCGGTGGTCCGAATGCACCCGATCCCTCGAGACCGTCAAGACGAACGATAACCGCTATTGACTCAGAGGTTGAATGTCTTCGTCTCTTGAACCCGTCGGTAAAAACAAGCTCACAGCTGAGGAGCGAACCTGGAAGCGAGGGAGCCACAGAGCCCTTCGCGGATTGGCTGACTGAGTGGCGCTAATGTGAGGTTATTCTTGGAGGGCAGGAGGAAGGGTGTTGAGGTTTCTATGCTTGGGTTGAGGTTACGGAGTGTGGCCCGTCTTCTCTTTCTCGGCAGCTTCCTGGATGGCTTCACTTTCTTCGGGCATGTTGTTGGACCCTTGCAGTGCAGAAGCGGGGGTAGTGAACAAGTGTGGTCCTTTCGATGACATAAGCGTGCGCTGCAGGGCTTTAATGTAACTCTTCCAGACTCGGTATTGTTTCTCTTAACCCCTGCTTCCGATCAGCACCGAACGACTTGCGATTCGACACACCCCTTCCGACCGTGGCCAGCTAGCCGCGTACTCTGCCGCGTGGGGAGAACGACTCTTCGACCACCCCAGGACCAAGGACCTTAGACGACTACTCATGCAAATCAGTGCAGGAAAAAACCAGCGCGAGACCCCAAAACTGGGCGATTCATATCCATCTCAAAAAGAACACGCTCGACGTCGAAAACTCGCGACAAATCCAGTACAGCGGCAGACCCGCCCCGCCCGACGCACCTGCTGAAGCGCACCTTTGCTAAGACCCGGGGTACTTCCCGCGGGTTGGTAGCGCTTGCACCGCAAAAGCTCCTCACATGGACAGATGCCAGCCCAGCTTCTAATCAAACTACCTCTCTACCTTATGGCTACTGAGACTGCTGTGAAGTCGACCCTTCCCGTTGCAGCGAAAAAGTCATACCCGCTGGGTTAACTGAGAGGCATTGCTCCTGCATGGTACGCAAACCGTCCCCCCAACCTTCCCACAGCACACGAAATCTCGCAGACCTCCCAGACATCGCGAACGCTCGATCTCCCCCTCTAACTTCAACCAAGGTACATCGACCTCCGCGTCAGAGACCTGCACGCAGATCCGCGGACGACGGGTAGGCCCTGCCTTCGCTTCGGCTACTTTATTCCACGCCACTGGAAGTTCCATGTCGTCCATCCCCCCCCCTGAGAATCTCACCACGGCACAGAGTTGTTGAAAGGCGAGATCCGCTGTCGTTTTCTCCAGACTACGACAGCGCCCACCAACATCAGCTCTGATTCCTCGTCAAACTGACCTCTCAAACGACTCCATCCTAGTCACTGTTATTACACAGTTGCCCACAAGGATGTCCGGCAATAATGGATGGCACTTCTGCCCCCAGTGGAAGCCGAGATGGTCTTGCTGCCGCTAGAGAGAGTCCTCGCGTCGCTCCTATGCTAGCCCAGCTACGCAGTCCAGGTCCGACACCCAGAGTTCCAAACTACCGTTGACATTGGCGTGTCTATCCTGCGAGCCTTAGAAGTCAAGTAACATGACGGTCTGATGGACTTGGCTGTGGAAGACCATCGTGATGGATGCTCTGCTATACTGGGCTAACGCAGCGAGCAGCTATCAAACGCGTCATTCAAGGTCCCAAAGCACCTGAGGATTCTCTAGTTGCTCCCACCCGGCGACATGCACCTTGATAGTACCATTTCGCCTTCGAAGCGTGCAAGGACAAGGAGCCTGTCTGACGTGGTGCTGCAGAGCCTGGTCCTTCTGACTTATCTCAGACAGCGCAGAATCCAGGCCCACACCCAGCTCAAGATTTCCATCCTGGCCAGGCCATTCCTATGCCCGCTGGATCGGCCTCGAACACCCTCAGCAAGGCCAACCGTCTATCTACTTTCCGACGATGCTCCAACAGTTCCAGCGGTCCAGACCTGTGACTTCGCGTCAAGAAGCCGGTCCCTTTCAGCGCTCAGTCACACCCGAGCACCTCTCATCCCGTAGCGGATCGGGAGAAGAGCGTCGCCATCGAAATCACGCGTTTGCGACACCGCCACTACAGTCCTTTGGCATACGATACGACAATCGATGCAGAGCATCACGCAGCATTTCACTGGAGAAGCTCAAACAGGAAACCTTTGCATACGACAGTTCAAAGATGACGATCTCTTCCTTTACCCACAACATCAAGTTTATGGCTGAATTTCATGGCGATGAGACAGTTGCGCGCACACTCGGTCATGGGATCCTGTCTCCCTACCGCAAGAACGACCGCTATGACGACCGAGACGCAGATCACAAGACGCAACCAATGGTCATGGCCTACCACACATCCGCTCGATCCCCGCAACGACGAAGTGCTTAAATCTCGCCTGACAGAGCTCTCTCTCCCCCTCCCGTTCGTTCGCCCAGCCTTTAGCGCTCCTTCTCCACATCTTCCCTCCCTTCAGCCCCGACTCAGCGTCTTGAGACTCCGACGACGACCGATGGGCTGGACACGATTCGCCAAAGGCCGCCCGCGCATCCATCATTATCAAAGCAGAGGCTTGCGACGGTAAAATCGATACCCACGACGGCGGCAAAGCTCTCAAGATCAAATTGTTATTCTCGAAGATCAGGAAGCGCAAACCGCAAAGGACGGGCGGTAAAGAACAACGGGCTCAATACATACTTCGCCGTCGCTCGAGGTACAACCTTCCCAGTCACTAAAGACTGTCAAGCTTGAATCCTTCATCGAGGAAATTTCCCCGAAAAACAGTGTTCCGCAGGTGGAGGACAACAAAACGGGCGTACCTGCCTTGGCTCAGGACCCACCAACCTCACATTGGACGAGGCCATTGCCCATATCAAATACAACAACCAACCTTTTCCCTCTTACGCCGATATATCACGCCCTGCCTGCGTTTCGAACGGGACATCCTGCGAAGTCAACATACACTCCCATCTTCGCTCATCATACACACTTTCAAAAGACCTCTATGCACGGCATTCCCAGACACGTGTTCAGCTCCCTCCTTTACCCAAAAAGACATGCCGAAAATTTTTTCCAGACGCGGAATCCAAAGATGCGAGCCTTTCCAGCTTAGTGGTCTTGGCGAAGGCGGCCCGCAAATCACTTCTTACGTTGTTCTCCCCATCTCTCTTCAAGGTTAACACGGCTTAATGTTCTGCATCACTATTCAACATCGCCTAAGCCGCAAGCACACAAACGCATACGCTCTATCACGTCTCCCTATCAGCGAGCCGTTGCCCTACTAGCATCACGAAAGGTGAAGACAGCTACGTTTAAGTCACGCAATCTGCCACAACAGAGATGCGGCTGGCCAGTTCATCGAAGCCTAGCCTGGAAAATGTTCAACATCGCCTAAGGCGCAAGCATATAAACTTATATGCTTTGTCGCGTCTCCTTGTGAGTGATCTGGCTCTCAGACTCTTCATCTCTTTTCGTCAACCTTGGCAAAAGCTGGGTGAGAGACTGCTACCACAACTTCTTGGGTCCTGTCTATGCCCTACACTGGCATCTCAGAAGATGAAGACAGCGACGTTCAAGCCCCCTATTCTGCTACAGCCGAGATACGACCAGTCAGTCCACCGAAACCCAGCCTGGAAACAACCCACGCGAAGAGTCTTTGTCGTGACGAGAGCACAAGCACCGCCGCCAACCACCCGTGGGACAGGAGGTCACTCTTGCGAATTCAGAACCTCAGAGGCGGGAGGGGAGACCAATCTCGCGGATCGAAGGCCTGCAAGACGGAGATCCAGCCTCACAATCCCAGGAGCAAGGCGGCGAAGACAAGTCCATCAAGCGTGTCACTCATAACACCCGCAACGGCAATGTATACTACAATCAGCTACCCAGAACCGACTTGGCAAGAGTCTACACTACAATAAGACACACTCCGCTTAGTGTGCCGCTATGAAACATCTCTGACGATGTTCATAGTGAACCCTAAAGGATAGATACGCGGCACGAAGTACTGTGTTGCAGGTGGAGGAGCGTCTATCAGGAAAGAAGCCGCACAGCGTTCTTTCCCGACCTTTAGGTCCACGCCCTTCACCGATCAGGGAAGCCAGTCGCAGGCATCCCCGATTTTGGCCTCGTCCGCCAACCACAAAAAATACTCACCTCCCCCCCTTCTCTCTTGCCAAATTCGAGCGCTCTTGCCGGGACGACCTGACTCTTCAACTCTTCGACCAGTCACTGATTTTTCTGGCGACAACCACCCGCCTGGACCCACCCGCCGACAAACGCTTCCCGCCTCACCTCGACCACCACCCACCGTGGTTTTGTTTACCTCTTTCTTCCTCCCACCTACCTGACCTACTTTTTGTTTTCCCCCTCTCTCTTCTAATCATCCATCTTCTTGTTTCGATTCCCAAAATCTTCACTACCCAACGCGAATTATCAACGCGCGAACACGAACAAGCTCGTTCACTACCTATTTCACTCTCACAGACACCCCCACAACCACAACCACAGCATCCAGAGTTGAAGATGCAAGGTCGTCAGCCGTGGCGCCGAGTCACGGAAAAGGACCTCGAGGAGGGCCGCAAACAGCTCGAGGAGGATCTGGCATGGTCACGAAGTGAGGTAAGTAGCAATATAAAGTGCTGGAGAACAACGTACTGACACGTCTAATCAGGAGGGTCAGAGGCGCCGGAGAAGGCGCAGGGAGCTAGTCAGGGCCGAGATCGCCAAGCACTGTCCTCCTTCCCCTGGCCCCGACGATTTCAAACTCGACCGGGAGGAACCACCCACCGCAAGCGACGCCCTTGAGGTGGACATTTCGGACAACACCACCTTCCAGCCCAAAGAGACGTTGCACACCAGCGGCTTTGGCTTCAAAGCCAACGAAGCAGTTGGAAAAGATGCGTATAAAGTATCCATTTGGGACAGAACCACCTTCCTGCCCATGGAGACGTTGTACAGCGGCGGTTTTGGCTTCAAAGTCGAGGAGGTTGATGATGAGGAGGAGACTGTCGTCAGTGGCCTGGAGCCTATTATTGAGGAAGCTGGAGAGGGCCTGATGAAGGACACCGATTTGTCCGCTGTAGCCAAGCACGGCGGGGGACGAGTCGTTCGATGATCTTGACAACTCACCCA